CCATCATCTGGCAGACGTCTTCACATCCTTTCCGCTCGTACGACGGATACCGGAAGGTCTGTTATGATAAGTTGCAATGCAGCCTTGGAAAAAAGAACAAAAAAATGCGATCGCTTTTTGAAAACGTTAAGGGTTACGATTTCTCTTTGAAAATATTGATATTGAATGAAATGTTTTGAAATGCAACTATGCACAAAAACGGCTAGGAGAGACCGAAGATTGAGAAATATTGCTAAATAACACTCGGGTGTTTGGAATCCCTCAATCGGTTCTGCGTTTTCTTTGTGTTTCGTCCAACAACTAGCGTTCTGTTGCTCAAATTCTATAGAGCCTTTCACTGGTTGCGTGAAGCTTTTCATGCGTCAGAGTGCCTTCAAAGATCGTAATTATGGGAACATTCAAGGTACACATGTATTGTTCGCAACGCAGCTGGAGAAGCACGAAAGACGTTCGATCTCAAAGTGCTCGGTGAGAAATCACCTCAGTAAATTACTTGAAATTATTCGCCTAATGTGAAAGGTGAAGCGTTTTGTTTTAGTACCACCATCCATCAATGAACTGAGCTCGTCTGAGTCGCTGCAGAACGTTATCCCCGGATCTCGTTTGAGCCTTGACTGCATCGTTGACGGTGATCCATTTCCAGAGGTGCGTTTCAGCTTTTTTCTTTTCGCTATAGCTGTAAATTCATCAGCTGTCAGCGCGTGTTTTGCCATCAGTGTACGCGGGGTAATTTATTGCATTTTTTTTTCACGGAACTTCGTAAGCAAAAGCAATCACACTCATAACTATTTCATATAGTCCCTTTGTTGTTTGCGACAATTAATGGGAGTAAGCCGTATAGCGTAGCTTCAAATAGCTTCATTTAGTATGAACGAGCAATTGATGACTAAAAACATCTTAAAAATAACGTCAAAAGGAAGAAATTGCATGAGCGTTGTTATCACCGATGAAGGCTAGTGTCTTAAGAAAAGGATGAGCTCATCGAGAAGAACAAAAATCATACATAACGACCGGAAAAGATGAGATCACTGGGAGATAACATGACACACCTTTCTTGGACGTGAATCCTTGAACTAAATAACTTGCATAACTCTGAGCATTCACACAAATAAAGAAATTCCTAATATCATAAATAGGTGAAAGCGTGTTCCAGATCAGTTGGACTCGTGACGATGTTCCTATCGAAGATGGAGAGTCGTACAAGATAATAAATCAGAAAGAAACAGTGGTTATCACGAAAGTTGACGGGCAGAGCGCTGGCAAGTATACTTGTCATGCAAGTAACAAAGCAGGAAATGCGACTAGAGACTTCGTCGTGCGACTAACAGGTATGTGCAAGCATTTATGACAAAGCGAGTAATAGAAGAACTCTTCAAAGAATTCTACAACCCATGTAAGGCAACTGAGAAGTGAGAAAGTTGGGAATGAAGGCATTTTTTTTTTTAAAAAAATGTGGAATCCGCATTTGAGTTACTTTACACAGG